TGGTACCCTGCTACAGTATACAAAGAAATTTCATGTCAATCAAAAAAATTATTGTTTGGAAGTTACAAAACCTATTTTTGAACTGTTGACCAGTTTAAGCTACAGTACTGATCTTTTATCTACTGTACTTGGCACTAAGTCAATATGAACTGCAGTACAAATAGAGTATGAGAAAATGTCATTTTGGTGAAATATTTGGTATCATTTTGTAGAATCATATTACCGGTATTCTCGAAAATAAGCAGTGAGATAATAACTATAGGGATGCAACTTATTTAAAAGCATTTTCTTTATTCATATTCCCCTCATATGTAAAAAGCATATATATCATTGCACACAATAGAAAACAGAAAATGATACAGTATTTACTACTGTACAGTACAGTTATTTACAATTACATTATTATGATTAATCTAAGTGTTTGTTACACTTATATACCGTATATACTCGTCTATAATCCTCCCTCGTTTATAGGTCGACCCTGATTTTTTGACCAAGAAATCATTAATTTATGATGTGCCTCGTTTATAGGTCGACCCAAGTTTTTGAGGGTAATGGAACAGCAAAACCTTCACTAAAAACACTCTACATCCTATAAACTGAGGGTCGCCGTGCCCGAAACACCGAGCGCCGAAGGCAAATTGTTTACCATTATTACGACACTTTATACTGAAACGCGGGTAGTTTCAGCAAAAATGTTGTATATTTCCATTCAAGTCAATTAGGAGGGAATATTATTGTAATACAACAGTTTTTTTTAACTTAAAGCCATTCGAAAAGCGATTACAGTAACATCTTTTGAACAACGAAAGAAAGCGAAAGTCGATTGTTTATGTCATGGTTTTATCCCACTTTCCACTGTAATACGTACGTCATTTCAGCAAAAATATTATATTTCCGTGAATGTATTATATCAAGCACAGTATGAATAGAATATCAATGTAATATAACAGTATTTTAACCGAAAACTATTGAAAAAACGAGTAACATCTCTTGAACATCGGAAGGTTAGGTAAAGTCTTTTGTTTTCATCATGTATTTTATCCTATTTTACATTGAAATACATCACGTTTCAGCAAAACTACTATTTATTTCCGAGAATATATTCATTCAGGCACAGTTAAGGTAAAATATACTTGTGGTGTAACAGTTTTTAACTGAAAACGATTCGAAAAACACGTACCGTCTGGCCGATACTCAACAGCTGATCGTACATCGTTGTAAACAATATGAGGTTGAGGTGGATTATTATATTAAGTGTGAAAAATCGAAAAGGTTTTTATTACCGGTATTTTTTGTAGATCAATGAGTACTGTGATACCGTATATGGTATAATAAGTTAGCCTGTGCTAAGAACTTCAACATGGACTACTGAAAGCACGTTGTAAGGTAAGTTAGCCTATTGTATGTTGGTGAGCTTCATCTGCTGAAGGCATTGCACAGCTTTTCATTACTAATTGGTACATATTTTACGTTTCCATTGTTTACTAGCAGTAAATGGTAAATATTTTTCATGTCTAAAGCTAAAAGTTGCTCCTCGCCCTTCCCATCATGCACGGATTCAACCTAACAAAACTATTACCCATGTAGAGGTCGACCCCCAATTTTTTGCCTAAATATTTGGTCTTAAAAACTCGAACTACACACGAGTATATACGGTACTTAATGATTAAATGACAATTTGATTGTTCAATTCACCTAAAAAAAGGATAAAATAATTTTCTCACCCTATTCTATACTTCAGCTTGTAGATTAAAAAAAAAATCTTTAAAACTAGATAATGTGTCAATGATTGCTTTATTTGTACAGTTATTCATAAAAGGCTAAAATTTGCAACACAAAATGAACTGGTCATTATCCTACATTTTTAAAGAGTTAAAAATGATAGCATTAAAAATATTTTTTCCTTCTAACTGATTAACTCCCTTGACTGTACAGTATAGTAATATCACCAAATGTGGTGCAAATACTATTTTGAGGATAGGACCTTAAAGAAAAATTTCTGTTTCCGATAAGTCATGGAAGATGACTAATAGGTCAAGAGGGGATAAGTTAGGGACCCTGTTTCCGGTACAGTAATGGAATTCCTTATGAATGAGCCGAGACAATGACACAATTAATTAAAACATCAATCAGGTATTAATTCTTCACTTGTGAATTAAGAGCACAAAATACATTCTTGAACTCCTAAATTACATGAATTGTAACACTAATGTTCACTTAAACTTACTGACATATTATTTATACACAGCATATAATTCTTGAAATTTAATGTCTATTTTTGTACAGTATTTTATTAAAAAGAGACCTCTTACTGTACTGCACAGTACTTCTTTAAGAAAATCCTTCTTTGGCACTTAGCACCTTTATCACCACTTAATTTTCTTTTGGAAGGCTGCAAGAACAACACAAAATTGTTTGAGGAAAATGGATCATGAATGTTATGATTACCAGTGTGCAACAAAGATTGAGCATGACTTGGAATGCATGGCCGAATGTGTGTCATATGCGATAGTTGTTTCAAGAAACTTAGAACAGTTTTGAGATGAGGCAGTGTACAGTACAGTTTTACAGTAGTATACCTACTTATACAGTTCCAGATGCCACTTGCAAATAATCAAATCACAGATAACAAGGGAAGTGTGTACACATGTTTTCTTCACACATTACATAAATCAGTAAATGCTTGAAATGTAAATACACCCAGAATTAGTAAAAAAAATATTAAAGAATTCCCCGTTTAGATGGCAGAAGCAAAAGTAAACAAGAAACATTCAGTCTGCAGTTCATTTAAAAAAATCTCAATTGTGAAGGAAGAGCATACTGTACTTCCTATATGTTAATAATGAGGTCTGCTCGGCAAAGAGTATGGATGGTAACATGAAGATACATACAAGAGCAGGTCATGAGGTTTTAATTAACTGATAGTGACAGATGATCAATTAAGAGCTGTAATTCTTCACTTGATGAAAAAACCCTTTACATACAGGGTCACCGATCACTTTTACATTCATTCATAATTTTTACTACGTACTACAGTATAGTAAACAAACGGCCTTGAGTTGCCAACTGTCTCCAGCAGTGTTCTAAGTAGCTTGAACGAGACTGTACATATCATGTGTCTGAGGTGTCTCCGTAGATGTGAGTGTATTAACGGAATTAATCTCAATTTAGCAAACTACAGGTAGTTCATTAAATTGAGTAAAAAATAACGGACAAAATTCCTTCTGCTAAATCGAGTATATACTGTACTGTACTTTATATATTAATAAAAAAGAAAGAAATTATTACCTGAAGGCTACCTGTGGTATAAACACTATTGGTATGTTTACTACTTTATGTCTTTAATAAAAAATAAAAATAAATTATTACCTGTGGTATAAGAACTATCTTGGAATTCTCCCGTCACCCACTATATACTGTATACTATTTGTACCAAGTTTTTTTTGGAATTCTGTTGAATAATATTGGACGAGTAATTTTTACAAAATTTTGATTATAGATACATAACATTTGATTACAGTCAGTTCATAATTACACACACATACACACCAACCCCTGTTCAGGATGGAGGGAAAAAAAATCAGGTACCACCTTGCTTTGAAGACAAATACCATTTGTGATCTGAAATATATATATATATATATATATATATATATATATATATATATATATATATATATATATATATATATATATATATATATATATATATATATATATATATATATATATATATATACAGGTATATATACAGTATATATAATGGTTTTAAAATGGTGGTAATAATGATGAGGAAAGAATAAATTTTCAAGGGTATCAAATTAATCATATATCTAAAATCAGTGGTTCTTGAATTATGGGTCGCCGAGCATTTTGAAAGGGCTGCAAGATGTTGAACCGTTCAATTTGGTCATGAGACCATTACGATGGTTGTCAAGGCTACAAAGTGCAAACACTTCACTTCTACTAGTCTTAATTTTTCTACTGACCAGAAAACATACCGTGTCACTCGTGAAGATGGTTGGTTTGTTATAATTTTTTTTAAAACACTTGCTTAATTATGTATGGGAATGTAGTTTTTATCACTTACCGGGGGTACTTTTTATTGTCATATTTTCATGCTGTAACCAATTTTGTAATAATTTGCTCCTTTTTCCCCCTCCATTTTGTCGCTCTGTTTGTGTGTTCTTTGCGTCAAAGGCTGCTAAGTTAATCCTGCATTTTTTTTTCAGCATGGTGGAAATGTACAATGAAAGACACGTGAAATTTGGTGAAAACATATGCCGAAGGGCTAAGCTTTTGGTGCGCTCTGCCTTGAGGTAGGGGGCTCTCATAATGTTGCATGAGTTATATTTAATCTTCAGACAAAACCGCGACACAACTTTTGTCTTTGATTGTACTTTCAAATGTACATTTTTAAATCATGGATTCACTCAAAAAATATGGTTTGGCTGGTTCAAGGACAACTGCCCCCCATTGCCAGTGAATAACTAGCACAAAACATGGAACTAACTTAACTTTAACTTAACCTAACCTAACTTTAACTTAACCCTAATGTAACTTTAACTTAACCTAACCAATTTTTAAATATTCAATATGACTGATCCACAATTTTTTTCATTTCACCATAATTTTTTATCAATATTTTTCTAATTTCAGATTTGTAGTGTTAAAAAAAAAAGGTATGAGTTGTGTATTTTGTGTACAGGTAACTTGCGTTTTACGCGAGTTTGATTTAAGCGTTAATACCAAAAGCTAGTTTACGCACACATATTTTTGAAATAACGTGCTCAAGACAGTTTAAATTTGCTGCGCGTATTCACCTGGTCGCCTGGCAGTGGAGTTGCGTGTGATGCCTGGTGAGGTGTTTGTAAGTATGTAAGTTATTACTATAAAGTTGCAGTCATCAACATCAACAATTTTAATATTAGTATTAATAATAATAATTATTATAATAATGTAATAATAAAGATTTTTACTACTAATGATGAAGATAATGAAGTATTCTGTACAACAACTGTGACGACGTCCAGCAAGCTTCCCACGTATCGCTTTCTCAGTTCACACCAGCACTACTTTTTCTCTGTGCTCTCATTTGCATTGTGTGTTTATCACGTATCTTTTTAGTGTTAAACACTGTTATCCCATTGAGCATGTCTGGAAAATGTCCATCTGCCTCCTCTGGGGTGCCTAAAGCTAAAAAGGCATGAAAAACAATCGCAATGGACATGAAATTAAATGTGATCACCCGCCTTCAGAAAGGAGAGCGCGTGTCGGAGGTTGGCTGCGTGCTTGGTTTAAGTGAGAGCACTGTTCGTACCCTGTGCGGTATACGATGGTTCCCCTAACCTGTACCATTTACATGTATCCTTATGGGAAAATTGCTAAATTTATGTGTTTTTTAATTAAGTGGTGGTTTTCAAGAACGTAACCCCCGCGTAAAATGAGAGGTGGGTGTATATAATTATTACTACAAATAAAACATGAAAATAAAGCATTAATTCTTAGTGTTCCATGTTTTGTGCCAGTTATTCACTGGCAATGGGGGTTAATTGTCCAGGGGCAGTTGTCCTATCGGGGCAGTTGGCGGAGGACAATTGTCTGGGGAAGGTTCTCGAGTTGAAATGGTTGCTCCATGTGGCCTACTTTGTAAAGTTATTCGATGAAATGAACTGCCTGAATGCTTCCATGCAAGGATGGGGTCACATTTTCATCAAACTCAATGACAAGCAGTCTTCATTTAAGGACAAACTGAAGTTGTGGAAAAGTAAAATGGAGCAAGGAAAAACTGGGTCTTTCCCATCCTTAAGCCACCTGTTGGAAGACTTTGAGGAAAATGCATCAGCATCGTTTGCAAACATTCATGGCAGTAACTTGGAGCACTTGAACAATCTTAGAAAAGGATTCAAACACTACAGTATATTCCTGCTGAATAACAGGAAATACTGCTGGGTTCATAATCTTTTTCAATATTAAAGACAGCACAACCTGACTGCAGCAACAACTGATAGAAATACAACATGATGAATTACTCTGCCAAAGTTTCAACCAGCAATCTCCATCAGTTCTTTCTGGGTCACACACTACGGTACAATGAAAAAGTAATCGTTGCTGCTGAAGCTCTTAAAGTCCTCCAACCATTCATAACCATGTACCTTTGTGAGGCAGGACTTAAACATTAATAATGACAAAGACGAATCTTTGACATAGACACAGCTTGTCTGCCACAACACCTCACTTTGAAGGCAAAACACTGTCATTCCCCTCATTAATTGGAGTTACATTATTTACATTTCATGATATTATATTATTAGTTTAAGCTATATTATATTATATTGCTCTAATGCTTTTATACTGACACACTAACAAAACAAATATAATAATTTTTTGTAATTATAATACTGTACAGTATGGGTCGCAAGCATGCCTGACCGGATCAAGTTCTGTGTCACAAAGAAACAAGTTTAAGAACCACTAATTTAAAGGTGAAAATTAAATTGTATGGAACTTGGCTCATCTTTGAGCGAGTTAGTAGTTCTTCATGAATTATATTAGCACACATTATGGTAACAAGTTGTAGGAAGGCGAAGAAATTTTTTAATTTCATCTGGATTGGAGGGACAGCAATGTGGCATTTCTCTCTTCAATTTGAGACTGATCTCTTTCATCATCTGTAAATAAAAGTGTTTTAACTGTATAGTATAGAAATTTTGACATACCGTTAATACCATGCAATATCTAAATACAGTACAGTTGTTTAAATGTTGCTTAAACAAATTCTATAACTAAAATCGAGCAAAAACTTGAAGTAGATTATCACACTATCTAAACGAATAAATCAGAATCAATAGTGCTGACAAGAAAAAATGAAGTCCTGTTTTGAATAATTCTCTCAATAAAAATGGGATCTGTTTATGTTGGAAACCAGGTGAGAATCTTCCCCAGGTAGTCCAAACACCTGAGCTTGTAAAACAAATCCAAATTTGATTCTCAGCAACATGCTGTCAGTAATAAGAGTCCATTGCTAACACATATATTTTGGATTTTTTTTTAATTCATTCTCATGATTCTATCATACAAGTGTTAAGTTCTCAAACTCTATTACATATCAATCAAAATCACCTAATCCATAACTACAGTATAGTGATACAATTATTCTTGTCTACAAACTAGTATGGCATCCACAAACAGTGCATGCACCATCAATACTAAGTCTAATAACAATTATGGCATGTTTCATCTGTACACAACATCTTGAAAGATGTAAAAATTCCAACAAATTCCATGTGTATCTTTCTCTTTTACAGGAACACATACAGTTGGGTCTTCATTTACGCGATCAATTGAACCTGCGGAATACCGCGTAAAACGAAAATGCGTAAATGAAATAACAGAACGTATGGGATTAATTGAAATAGAGACTGGGCCAACCCCCAAACTCCACTTTTTCCGACACAATACGTACGTTGTAGTAAAAATAGTATCTTAACTTTATGATGGTATGCACACACACATAATATAGAAGAGAAATATCATTAAGAGAATAATATACTGTACCAGGTAAAAGAAAAATCAAGGTTTAACACTAATGTTAGGTTAGGTTAGAAAAAATCAAGGTTTAACACTTACGTAAGGTTAGGTTAGGTTACAAAAAAATCAAGGTTTAACACTTACGTTAGGTTAGGTTTAACACTTACGTTAGTAGAAGAGGTGGGTCGGCGTACGGGAATGGCGGCTGGTTCCGAGGCAGAGGGCAGATTACTGGCCCTCAGGTGAATCACTATCACTATCCACCATAGTTGTCAGGGCCTCCCTGACAAATCCCTCAAAGTCCATAGCGTCACTGTCACTTTCACTGGCTTGGGCTGGCTGTGGTGGGTTGCAGGCGAAGAAGTCCGTGATGTTACGCTGACGGCTAGTGTTGATGTTGTCGTGATACACCTTGATGTACGGCTCCATAGTCTGCAACAGCTGGTTATTGAAGACTTCATAGCGGTTATCGTCAGGGTCGTTGGAAAGGACGAGCTTGAGTTTCTCTGCAAACTCGATGGCATCCTTAACATTACCATGCGTTAACTTGTGTTCTTCTCGGGATGAAGCACCACCTGCATCTTCACTGACGTCATCGTCTTCTAACATCTCGTCGGCAGTCACCTCAGGATCCCTTATCACCTCCATTATGTCATCTTTGGTGGTCTCGGAGAAGCCTGCAGCTGTAACACTCTGCGCAGCTTCTCTTGCAAGGTCCATTGCCACTGCAACAGACTGAACCTCACCAGTCACAGGTTGACTCTGCCTCCCACCTGGGATACCTTGCAACACATGCCGACATGCGTGACGAATCGTTGCTACAGACAGCTGATCCCATGCCCCCACCAAGAAATCAACAGCTTTCTTGACGTTAAATTTCTTCCAAAACTGTTTGACACGAACTTCTTGATCTGCCAACTCTTGTTCCTCGTCCTCGTCGCTCTCGCTATCGGTGTCACCCAGGTTAAGCAACTCATCCTTGGTGTTGGTACAGTCGTTCAGGAGCTTAAACTTCTTTGTAGAGAATGCAGCCTTAACGTTGCATATCAACTCCTGGTCCATGAGCTGGATTAACGACGTAGTGTTGGGAGGAAGGAAGACCACTTTTACGTTGGGGTGACGATTCAACAGTAGGGGCGAGTGTCCTGGTGCGTTGTCAAGGAGCAACAAAATGTTGAATGGAACATTCTGTTGCTTGCAGAATTTCTTGACGTTGGGAACGAAACAGTCGTCAAACCAAGAGAGGGACAGAGCAGAGAACATCCACGCCTTATGTGCGGTTAGCCAGTGGACATTTAGCTTGGTCATGTCCATGTTCTTGTAGGCGTGTGGCTTGCGGGCTGTGTGGATCACCGATAACTTGAGTTTACAGGTACCGGAGGAATTGGTGGTAAACAGGACGGTGATGCGCTCCTTCTGCAACTTCTGGCCCCAACACTTGTTGGCAGACTTGACAACGAAGGTCTTGGAAGGTAGCTTTTTCCAAAACAGACCGGATTCATCCATGTTGAACACCTGGTCGTCGGTGTACTGTCCTTCCTCCATAACTTCACGTAAGAATGGAGGAAAATCACTAACGGCAACACGGTCAGCACTCGCTCCTTCACCACCAATGTTAATGTTGGTGATCTTGTTCCTCTTCTTAAACCCTTGCAGCCACCCAGAGGAAGCATGATTTGGGCTCTGCAATTCCCATCTTACGTGCCACTGCTACGTACAGTTCACGTGCGTACTCTTGAACCGACCGCGTGTTCACCGCCATGTTCCGTCTTGCCTGACGAATGAAGTAGCTCACAAGTAAATTCTCCGTCTTGAGCAGCACTTTGTTCTGGCAGTACTTCACCATTGAAGCACCTGCAGACTTTGTGATGTTCATGTGTTCTTTTATCTTGGCTGCATCCTTGTTGATCGTCCTGATAGTAGATTCGTTCACGCCATGCTGACGCGCCAAATCAACCTGTCTCGTTCCTTTTTGTAAATCTTGTATGATCTTGTACTTCACTTCGTAACTTAGGGCACGTCGAATCTTCTTTGGCTTAGGGCGCCTGGGTCCAGGTAATGGGGGTCCAGTGGAAGCCATTCTTACAAGATTATCGGAACAATAGAACACAGTTTACACGGAGTGACTGCGAGGAGAGTAACTGACGTGGCTAGGTCAAGCGCCTTCTTCCCTCCCGTGGCAGGGCACGTCATATTACATTAAACCAATCACAGCTAGCAGCGGAGGGAGGTAAGGATGTGTGGCCCAATCACAGTCTGATACATCATATGACGTCACCGATAACGCAACAGAGACATACACTGCGCAACCTACTCGCGCCGCTTATCCAAGCATGGCAGGATGGCGGGAGGTTTGAATCCAAAAATGGCGCGGCGCGGCAGGACCGCCAGATGCTCTCCGCGTAAATGACCAAATTTACCGCGTAAATCAAGCATTTCAATTCTGGCAAGGCACCGTGTAAATCCAGACTCAACTGTACAATATTGCTCGTTATGCAGGTCCTTATTGTGTTGATAAATTACTAGTGTATTTTTAATACAAACTCATCAGGTATTAAGATATTTTAATATATATATATCTAGAGAATATTTAGCCAACTTATTCCTCCCTGGGTGGAAGTTGACTTGAGTGTTGTGTGGAACTTGGTGTGTACCATATTTAAAATGGTAATTCATGTGTAGGTGGACTTCCCATCCTGATGGGTAGGTTATTATTGCATTATTTATTCTTTCTTGTATTTTAATGTTACTTTTGGGAAATACATTTGTCTCCAGGAACATAATGGCATATTTATTATGTACCAACAACCCTTAAGTAGCTAAGGCTTCCATATTCTGTCCCCATATGTCCAAAAATGGAATGCAAGGAACATGAAATGTCAACTGATGATGGCTGCTATCCCAACAGCTAACCTCCACTGGTGAAGGTCATAGTTTGTGTTAAGAGAATGGCCATTAAAGATTTGAAATACGGTGACTCAATTTATGATGTTAAATTGAAAAATACATCCCTGTCTTAAGACGAGGCTTTACTGAACAGTACAGTAATCAATTTTGTATTGTTACCTTGCGATTGATCCGTGAAACTTCCTCATGAATAACAATACGTTCTGGATAATCACGGCCAATAATACACTTCACCTTCTTCTGCAACTTGCGTGGGGCCTTCCATGGTTCAAATATATATTCTTGGGGCATTGAAGCTAACTCAGGCACATAGCGTCTACAAAGAAAGGAAATCAGAAAAACTAGCATTACAAATACTGTTATGTTCCCATAAAAATTATTTAATTAATGTTACAGTTGAATTTATAACAAAGTATTACCAGGAGATGAATGAAAAATGGAAATCTGTATACTGGAATCATTCAAGTGGATAAAATATCGCTTGTTTTCATAAAATTCTATTACCTGATATAATCACCAGTGGGTTCTACTCTTCTCCCATAGTTGACTGGGCAAATACAAGTAGAACAGTCCAGCTGTCGCTCAAAGGCAGATGAGCTTACCCACATCCAGTTACCAGCAGATACTGACCAATCTGCATCAATCAGGTATTTATAGAAAACCTGAAAATTAATAAAAAGTTAAGTTCAGTAGTCCAATCTTAATAACTACACAGAGAAAAAAAAATCAAGGTACAGTATTAATAAAATCTTATGAATATTGTAATGGGAGTTTGATATCATAAACATTTCGAAGTTTGGAACAAATGGTGCAGAGCACTTCCGGGAATGAGAGATTTCCGGATAACGAGACGACTCTCTCAAAGCCGGAAAAAAATCCCTCATACCTGGAATTTTCCGGGTAACGGAAAAATGTTCTTGGAAGTTCCAGAATGACACATTATTTCATCTCTCAAAGCCGGAAAAAGACCTCTCATACCTGGAATTTTCCGGGTAAAAGAAATATATTCTCGTAAGTTCCAGAAATTGATCATTTCATCATCTCTTGAACCCAGAAAAATATCCCCCATCCCCGGAAAATTCCAGATACGTATTGGAAAAATTTTCTTGGAATTTCCGGAAAATGCTCCAGATTTTCACCCCTCATACCCAGAAAAAATGCCCCAATCCCCAGAATTTTTCGGGTACTGGGAAAATTTTCTCAGAGTTTTCCAGAAAATGTGCCCCTCAGAAAAACGTGCCCAAAGATGTAATTTTTCAGAAAATTCCAACTTTGGGAATGATTTTCCGTGAAAATTTCAATTTCGGTTATCGGAAAGTTCCGGGTTTGAGGGATTCTGGCTAACAGAGATATTATTATTGCACGCACTTATTTTTAAGAGCAACACCCTTCTGGGGAATACTCATTTGTAAAGGCATCCCTCAGGTTACTGGAGGATTATGCTCCTGAAAAGTTGTCAATAACCAAAAATCTGTTTTCCCATTGACCCTCATATATAACTGGAAATGTGTTCTATGGACAAAAAATCCCCTTCATCCTGGGAAAAACAAAACAAGATCTTATTTAAATAAAAATTTCAATGGATTTTTTTTTAAATGAACAAATGATTACAGGTACTGACCCGTGATATCAGGTTTCAGAAACCAGATACAGTACAGGTATTGTATGTACAGTATTATTGAAAATTGAAAAATTTCTAAAGTGGGTTAAGTAAAATTTTATTTCCTGTTATGTTATGTTTTGCTTCAACACACTCACACAAACTTAGTTGAATGTTTGTTTTATTTCTAAAATTACAAAATAAAGCAAATGTACTGCACTTTAAATGAAAAGATACAATAAATGCAGTATTTATTGAAGTTGTGAGTTCCCTTTATGCGAGTTAAAAGGATTTTTGTATACTACAGTATGAATATCACAGTAGCTTCTCACCCAATACCTCGATTACCTAGTGTTATTTATTTATACAATATTAATAAAATATTCTAAGTGTGTTCACATAGCTTTTGGAATTACTGTATTATTGGTCAATATAAACCAAAGAATAGAGGTAATTTGTATGTCAGATGCTGCTTGCTGTCACATGGATTCCTACAGGATGATCATAACAAACCATGGTACAATGCTGGTTGGTTGTCCAGCCACAGGATTTTGAAGGCTTAATGGTTCCTTATCGGTTGCATTAGTATTCTTTTTTGCTGTTTCCTGAAATATATAGCAAAACAAATACCAGGTGAAATATAAAAACATTAGAGAAGAAGAGTATAAAAGCATATTGTAAGGCATCTATCGCTCGCTGGTTACCCATGTGGAAATCTCTGTTAGTTCCATCACTACAGAGAGGCACCAGTAAACTCCGCCCACTGTCTCCGTCATCTCACAAATTTTCTAGGACAACAGCTGATGGAATCGAAGTAATCAATCACAATTCTAGAATAGAAATGTGACATAACCACTGAGGTTATTTAATGAGCTGCCATACCCTTCTCGACACACTTCACTTCACACCTCTCTGTCCATACTTCCAACTCAGCTCAACGTGTCAACATTGGTGGTCTACCTCTCCAGCGCATCTCCAGTCACATCACGGCCCAGTTAACTTATACTGCTAAGTTTCTTAAGTATACAGTCAGTCCAAGCTTAACGTTGTTTCGGTACTAGATCGCTAAACTTTAGAGACCAAAAATTCATCTAATGTCCCGGTGATCCTATACTACTGTACGTTGTTTTGCGTCATCACGGACTACTTTCTACGGCGCACCACCCTCTCTCGTCTGACTGAGCTATATTCTCTCAGCTTGGCGCAGAGTCTCAGTGACTCGCCACCCTCCTCTGCTCCCACCCTTCTCCTCCGCTCTTGCCATACTCCATCCCCTCCCGCCACCCGCCTCCTATGCCTCACTACCCACCACACACTCGCTCTACCACCTCCACCCTTCGGTGAGTATCAATGCAAACTTACTAGTTGTATATGTGTCATGGGTTACGTTAGGCTTACCCACGCAACCAACTCCAAAGTTTGTTTTACTAGAGATAAGGCACCCGGCGAGGCAAAACTGGGACATATATTTTCCATTAGTGGTATGTTAGCCAGCCTTCGGGGGCAGTGAGACAGTGTTGTACTGTTCATCGCCTCGCACCCAAAAACCTCATTCTAAATAGTATCCCCTTGGCCATGGGTTAGGCAAGATGCCCACCTCCTCCCTCCTGAAGGGAGCGGGACACCACACGGAGTCCTCCACTGCCACTCCGTCCTGTGGACCGTCGTCGACACGAGACTAAGCGTGTTAACCTAGGTTGTTATCCCCGTGGAAATATCACGTGTGGGTGCCTGGTTGCAACAAGAGCAATCCGGGCTGGCCTATCAAACCTACAGTAAATGGTTAATCAATTCACGCTTAGAGTTCTCCTGCACGACACCCCATCTACAGTGACTGTGATCGACACGTGACTAAGTGTGTTAACCTAGGTTTGTTATCCCCATGGAAATATCACGTGTGGAAGACTGGTTGCGATAAAAGCAATCCAGGCTGGTCTATTCCACCTTAGTGGTTAATTCAAGTCACGCTTACCAGTTCTCCTTGCCGCGACAACCGTCTACAGTGACTGTCAGTGACGTGAGACTATGTGTGGTAACCCAAGAGTACTTTTTGTTGTTATTCCCCGTGGGAATAAGTTCTTGTGCGGAAGCCTGTTGCAACAAAAGCAATCCAGGCTGGCAGTAAATGTATCCCTTGAAGAATTAAGGCTCTATTAAGTCATCCCCATAGTAGAGTAATCACGTGTGTTCCCAAGTTGAAAATTCCCACTTTTAGAAGATTAATTCTATTACAGCGTGAATGTGAGTGACTCATATATCCATGCAAATTGTAAATCATTGTATGGAAGCTTGACAAATAAATGTAAGTGCAATTATCTGCCCGTATCTGTGATCCTATCTTATTATTACTAAAGGTAATGACTGATTGGTTATGACAACGTATAACCAATAACTTAGATGGATGTTGGAAATTAATGGAATTCATTAAATCATCATTTATCAAGTATAAATCATGGAATGTCGAGTGGTGGAGTGAACTTCTACGTAGATACGCCATAATCTCCTGTAAGTAACCAGTGTGAAGGTATCGAATTCTACGGTAAGAAATAAGAAACACAACATATTATAATCTTTATATAATATAATCCACTCTTACTACCACCGATATACCAAAACCATGACAATATGTATGCACTATTTTCTATAGATATGGCAATGATTTTCTTTATATGTAATGTATTTCATGGGGCAAAGAGAGGCTCAGAAACGTAACTCCCATATTTTATCTATTTCTTATGGGGAAAATTGATCCGCTTAACGTTGTTTTGTATAACGTCGCGTTTTTAGGAACGTAACCCCGACATTAAGCGAGGACTTACTGTATGTCTCTTAAGTCTAGGGATGTGCCAGCCTTATAGACAAGTTAGTGTAACAATTGTGTGTCCTACTGTGTACTTTCCCAGTGATTTTCTATACTAGGACACGAAACTCTTTATTAGCCAGTGATCTTACTGTTATGAGCTCTACCCCAATTCATTTTCTCTTTTGTAATAGGATTTCATTAACTTTTGTATAACTTCTTATTTGTGAGTATAATTTGTATATAGTATTAATTTTTAGTACAGTACAGTTGTAAGAAAATTACCATACCTGTTTAACTATCCTCATAAGTGATGTCTGAGCCTAGCCTAGTGGCATTACATCTATTATTTTCTCGGGAACACAACTAATTGTTCACAAGTGGAACTTATGTTTAACTTTCTTACCTAATCTTAGTATTTGAGTATGTTAAGAAATCTGTATTCATTAATTTCTTTAATCTGTTAATCGTAAATACTACCCAGTGATAATATAGGGACCAGTACAGATATCCCTCGATTTATGATCTCCCTATCTATGATATTCTGTTTTAACGATGGTGATGTATTATGACCCCCCCTCCCCTCAATTTGCAATGTAAACAATCCACATGATCAATGGTTATCATCCAGCCAATGCGGAATATGGAACGCATCTCTCAGTTCACTTGTCAGCTGTGGTCTACAGTACCAAGATTTGTTCCATGGTGATTGCACATGGCCATGATCGTGTTGCTCAATGATTATCGGTCAGATAAGTTCTCAGGTAACCTGTATTGATAGTGCTCAAGTGTGTTATATGTATGATTATAGTGTTGTGTGTTTTTTAAAGTAAACCAAGTTATGGTGGATGTTGGAAGGTGTACTGAGTTGAAAGTACAAACTGAGTGGAGTCATGGAGCTGATCCTTGTAGTTGTGTGTTACTGAAAGTAGTCTTAAGTCTAACTTCATTTTAATAAAAAAAATTTATTGTATGTGGGGGGTATCATTCTCCCGCAGTTTTCACATTTGTCTCTTCCCATATCTTGGTAGCAGTACAGTATTACTGTAAACCCCCGTGTCCTAACCCTCGAGCCATGCTACCACAGGTCAGAGGTTAGGGGGTATCTATGAGAATAAAATACAGTGGTCCCTCGGTTAACGAGCACCTCGGTAAACGAGATTTCGGTTAACGAGTTACCTTTCATAAGATTTTTAACTTCGGTTAACGAGCAATCCCTCGATTAACGAGTTTCTTACGAGCCGACCTCCACATGTTTTAGCTTGCATTTGGCGGTCCACCATCTGTAGTATTAGTCCGCCAATACAGTAATCGGTTCTAGGGCTTAAATTCCTTACCCTTTTAGTAAATATCAAGAAGTTTATACTATTCAATCATTTTAAAAGTTTAATATTAAATTTTTTAGTCATTTTAACAATTTTTGAACATAATTGAAGGTAGGGTCACTAGTTTGTGGCACGCCATCCAGCCTGCCAACACAGCATACAGGCGTCAGTCTTTGTGTCTTTTCAGTGGAGGTAACATCTTGCTTGAGACTCTCTTCAACTAAACGCTTTTTTTCTGTGTTTGCAAGCAAATTATTGGTCATTTTGAAATTTATTTTACATATTGACAATATATAATGCAGTGCAGTGTTGATTTAAAGAAAATAATCTTGAATTACACCAAGAGAACTAAAATTTTATGGGTGAAATGGCGCCATGGGGTGACTTCTCTTCCACCCCAATGCCTTCTCTTCTCCCTTCTCCTCCACCCCCATTCTAATTCCCATCATCATCATCATCATCCAGGAGCCTTCTACATACACACCTCAAAGTAAGTGTACTTTTCTACCTTTTTTGTTGAATTTAGGCAATTTTCGGTGAGCTGGAACCAATTATCCAAAAACCCATTGAAACAATGGTTTCGGTTAACGAGTTTTTCGGTTAACGAGCAACCTTCTAGAACGGATTGTGCTTGTTAACCGAGGGACCACTGTAACTAAGATACAGCTAACATATAGAATTAATAAAGTAAGAAATTGAAAGAAAGAACCAATTAAGAAAAAGAGAAAAAATTGAAGTAAAATAAACAGAAGAAGAAACCCCTATACACATTCTGTAAGAATGTTTGTGTGTGCATGTATCAGAGTAAAAACAAAATAAGAAAAAAAGAAAAAGAAGACAAATATTTAACTAAAATTGCAAGTTGAAAAATACAGTAGTACTCAAACCAGCTCACAGCTTGGTAGGAGGCTGATACACCGAAGCCTAACCCCCTTCCCGCTCCCACGATCCACACTAACTGATATGGATGTAGAAAATTATTATTCTCTTTATGTTTTGATCTTATTAAAATTATTTTTGCAAGGTCTGTATGAAGATTGTACAGGTATGTGCATATAACAAAGTTAAAAAAATTAAGAATATTACATGTCAACCTGTAATTACTTGCAGTGACAGCTGGGGGTCACAACTTACTACTGTACATGTACATATCATGTAAGGTAAATTAAAATAAATCTTTATTCTGTATAAATTTATAATTTGTATAAATTTATTCATTTTATATCTATTTTTAAATTATTTGAGTTATTTAGACATTATTTAATCATTATAGCAGCAGGATATAAAACTTGTTTGGGGTCTTTAGGGGCTCAGGAACGGAAGCTTTTTTGAGGTCCCTAACCCCATTGTATAACAGTCACTGCATGTACCTGTATATAATAATGTACCTGCCCTGTCTATATAACATGCATGCAAGGTGAATGGCAATTGGGGTAGAACTGAGAACTGTAGTAGGGACGTGAACTTAATTTGTCCAGGACACATCCAGAACACGTTCATCTATTAATCAGGTTAAACCAAAAAAGGATTATGTTTTAGGTAACTTTTGATATTTATGTCATTGTCAATTAGATGTACAGTATTCTAGGTAATATACAGTCCTATACAGTCTGTACTGTATGTGCATGCCAGGGAGGTGATACAATTGCTTAATAAGGAAAAATTGGGCTTCATTATACTGTACTGTACTGTATTTATGTTGCTCCTAATGTACCACAAAGCACAATTTTAGCAAAATTAGAGTACAGGTTGTACCTCTCTAGTCCGGCATTCTGTGGTCCGGAAACTCCCGTGGTCCGGAACGATTTTAGTTTGTCCAATAGGTAGATAGGCAGCTTTTTTTTTTTTTTTTACTTGATCTTATTATTATTATTATTATTACAGGAGTATTAAATTTTTGCCCCTCAGGCCCCAATGTGGGTCAGTGACCTATGCCCGGGTGGGCTAATCCCCTTAAAAAAAAAAAGCCGCGGGAAATTAAGGTTTGTTTACATCCGGCAGTTCGGCTGCTCTCTCTCTCTCTCTGCTTGTCTATACAGAGTACAACATTTAACCCTTCAATATATATGAGCAGTAAATAAGTGTTGCTTTCATATTCTTATGTAGAGTAATGACGATATATTTTCACATGTGCGCACTTACATACGAGCAGTCTCACTTTTTTTTTTACCATTAATGGTTAGCTACTTATATTGTTCCATTTATTAACATTAAATAACATTACAGGTACTTCAAGCAACCATATTCATTTTTTACATTAATTTTACTACAGCTAAACTCAGGGTCTTATTTTCTTCAGTTTTATATGTAGAACCAATCAGTCACTGGTTTCGTAAGCTTTAACATAAACAATGCCGGCAGCCGTCTCGTCTCCTCTAATATTCCACGTATTATTAATAAATTGTATTGTTAATTTTGCACACACGTACATTAATTCAATAAAAACAAATTCAGAAACATTAATTAAAATATATATGAACAGTAAATAAGTGTTGCTTTCATATTCTTATGTAAAGTAATGATGATATGTTTTCACGTGTGCGCATGCGCACTTACATATGCGATCTCTCTTTTTTCTTTACCATTATCGTTAGCTACTTCTATTGTTCCATTTATTAACATTAAATAACATTACTTAAAACAACCATATTAATTTTACTACAGCTACAACCAAGGTCTTATTTTCTTCAGTTTTATATGTAGAACCAGTCAGTCACTGGTTTTGTAATCAACGAATACAATGCTGTGTCATTTCCTCGTGTGTTTTAATATTCTACGTATTATTAATGAATTGTATTGCTCATTTTGCACACATAAACATTAATTCAATAAAAAAGACATTCAGTAATAAACAATAATGAATCTTTTGTACATAAGAGAAATGACGCTGTTTACACGATTATGCACGTCGTCTGCACGTTGGCGGGCCGTTCAAACCCGTCGAAATTCAAGTTTCCGCCGTCAAAATTTTTATTTATTTATTTTTTGTGTGTTCCAATAAAATACGTTAAGAATTAAAAACTCGCGAAATTTGAGAAGCTACTATACGACATTTAACCCTTCAATATGTCTTCAAAGAGACCATGATGCAGAGAAAGTGGTGCTAGTGCTTCCAAGCATAAGCACAAGTCACTATCTATCCAGGAAAAGGGTGAATTTCCATGGTCCGGCACCGGTCAGGTCCCGAGGTTGCCGGACTAGAGAGGTACAACCTGTACTGTATAACTTTGTGTGTCTCAACATCAAAATAAATTGAATAAAAATAGCAGATAAAAAATCAGCATTTTTCACTTACAGTACTATACTGTTACTTATATAGACAGTCTAGCTTGTCTTAAAAGATTTGGTAACATTGTGAGCAGGTGCCACAGTGCTCTAAGCCAACCAGTTGTGTATAAGCTTTCCTGTACCATCCCTGTTAATTTAGTTTACAGGTAGTTTTAATGTTATGACTAACCCTCACAGGTGTGGAAAAATTGGTAAGTTATATTCATTTTCCCCCCATTATTTTTTTTACTCTGGTAGCATTTGAAAGATTTTTCATTAATGCAATTTTCTTTCCTTATCTTAAATCCTGCCCCCATAATTTTCAGATTTTGTTGATGCTAATTTCTGTAACTCAGGGGTTCCTTTACTTTCCACATCATGACAGGAACAGTTACACTGACAGACATAGAGTACAATACAAGCAAACTTAAATGAGGTCATAACTAATGAAGAAACTGCCAGATGTATTGCATGCCTTATAGAAAGCCTACCTTCAGTCCTGCCTCCCAAGAGATCCACAGGTCACCTCTGGTCAGAAAACATGCTACTGCTGTCCTACACACATGGTGGATCCATCCTTCCTGAAATTTAAGCACCATCATGTTCAACAGTTTTCATGGGTCAATCATACACATACTTGAACTCTGCTTGTGTTAGTGTCCAGCTCTTTCCTGTTTATTAACAAGACTACATCTTTCTTGTGTAAAGCATTTACAAATACAGTGCTGTACAGTAATATACTGTGTGTGTGTGTGTGTGTGTGTGTGTGTGTGTGTGTGTGTGTGTGTGTGTGTGTGTGTGTGTGTGTGTGTGTGTGTGTGTACCGAATGGGGTAACCTCAATGCTATCATCACAAAAACCTGCAGCGACTCCCTCAGCCAAATCAAAAGAAAACACCAGGAATGGTTTAATGAAAATAACATTGAAATTGATGTACTCTTCAATGGTAAATGTGCTGCTTTCACTGACTGGCAGAACAACCCTCAGTCTTGGACCAAAGCTGATACCTTACGCCAGAAGAAAGCAATGGCCCAGCGCAAACTTTGCAATCTAAAGAATGAATGGTGGAAAAATAAAGCATCTTTAACACAAAAATTTGTGTATCAACTTTACGAAGCATGAAATTTTCAATACCACTAAAACAATGTATGGCCCAACTACTTATGACATTTTTCTTGATTCTCTACCTTTTTGTACTTCCTGATCCACAAAATCCTGCTCGAGGGTTTATTCAGAGTATCAGGGTAGTGGAACATAATACACCACAACTCGGGTTTGGTTCATATTGTTGTGTGGGGAGCAAGACACTATAGGTCCAGCAATACATTTAAGAGTCTTTAAGTTTATTAATCATCTCTAATGACACCTCCACCACAAGGCCCACATCTGCTCGGGGTACAACTTTTGGTGCAGATCTACATATTGTACTTGTACAATATCTTGGTAAGTTTGAAATAATGAATATACAGTATGTATCTTCATATAAATTAGTTCAATATATTTCTCGTCATTAAAAGTCATCCTAACGATTATAAATAAACTCATTTAGAAATACATAATTACTTCAGGACGAAGTCGGACAGATTTGCAATAGCCAATCAGCTGTAACTCTTGAAGAGGGGGCGGGGCATCTCTTCTCAGCGGGGAAAAAGGGCACTATAGTGTTATGAGTCACATCAAGTCACAGGGTGAAGGATGCTGTCACTGCTGTGCCTAGGTGTTAAAAAGTCAGATGTTTGTAACTTTGGGACTTACTGTGTCTAAAGTTCTCTGTTCTGTATTTTTAACTACCACACAGTACTATCAGTAACAAAAACTTCTATTGGTTTGAGTCAGGATAAATATCCAGTTAATGTCTGGTATTAATTGGTTTTGGACTATCACATTATCTGATCTATCTACAGGTTGACAACCCTTTATCCGAAATTCCGAAAACAGAAAAGCTCTGAAAACCGAAAGTTTTTTGTGGGTCAATTTTTGTTTATTTATTTATTTATTTATTTAGTTTATTTTTTTATTATTTTTTTTTAACAGGGATTAGCCCACCCGGGCATAAATCACTGACTCACATCGGGGCCTGGTGAGCGAAAATGTAATAGTAATAATAATTATAATAATAATAATTATTCATAGTAAATAAAATTTTTAATTAAAATACTGTACACCAAAATAACATAATATTGATAACAATAATAATAATAGTAATAATAAAATATAATAATAAAATTAATAATAATAACAATAAAGAAATACAAGAATGAAAAAAAAGATCAAAAGTGAGAAATGCGACCTAGACCTATGAATTAATATTACAGTATTATTATTATTATTATTATTATTATTATTATTATGTGGGTCAGTGATCTATGCCCGGGTGGGCTTATATAAAGAAAAGAAAAGAAAAGAAAAAAAAAAAATTATGAAAACCGAAAAATTCCGAAATCCGAAATGCCTCTGGCCCCAAGGATTTCGGATAAGGGATTGTCAACCTGTAGTAGATGGTTCCATTACTCTTGTAAAAAATAAAAAAAGTAAGCTCAATAAAACACATGTGCATGTTCAGGTGGTAATAATGATGCTTGGCAAGTTTCAAATACTGTATTTCCATAAAAAACACAGGATGAAATGCATTAATGAGAATAAATTACAAACTAATTGATGGACAGGCAACACCCTAATATGTCCTGTCACTGATGGACATATATACAATACATTAAATACAGTATATACTTGTGAGAAGGGTTTTTACGAAATGGATCTGGCTCTAGTGAATAATTTTCAAGTGTCACAGAAATTAGGTCAGTTTTTACAGTACAGGTACATATATTTTACAGTTTCTTTGCTGAACAGTGGTGGATCCTAGCAAGTCTTGGATATAACGGTAAAGATATCAGCCATAAGAAGTAAGTACAATAGTTGTGTTAATAACTATATCACCAATAAGTACATGACACAATTCCAAGTAAGAAACCTATATGTTTTTTTATTCCTCACCTTGTGAAGTTGTCTCATGCAAGCATCAATGAAGGGATATCCAGTTCGCCCTTCCTCCCAAGCAGAGAGCTTCTCTTTACTATCGTACCAGGGAATGTCAATACAGATAGGATTTTCCTTCATTTGGTCAAACTGCAAAATTAATATACAGTACTGTAAACTGTACAATCAATATATATATATATATATATATATATATATATATATATATATATATATATATATATATATATATATATATATATATATATATATATATATATATATATATGCTGATAACCACAAGGAAAGAAGAAAACACGAAGTTCCCAAGCGCTTTCGTGTAATTCACATCTTCAGGGGTGAGTACAGACTAGAGAGAGTAATACAAATCAAGGTGTATATATACAGAGGAGGGTGAGACCAGGTCCACAATGGTCAGGTATTAGGTAATGACCCTACTAATCTTTAAATAGCACACAACGGTTGGTGGTCAGGTCAGATGGTCAAGTGACCCGGCCTTCTCACCTGATCACAAATCTTCTTAATTACAAAATTGTCCAGCTTGTACATGCCGTTACTCAAATTCATGTTGAATGCTTCGGTATGTTTAATAAGACTAGATTCTATGATGTTCCTACTATCAATTGAATTACATGGTAATATTGAGGAGGCATTATCCCAGTCAATGCAATGCTTGTTATCCCTCAAATGAACAAACAGAGCATTGGATTCCTGGCCTGTCCTAACACTGTATTTGTGTTGTTTAATTCTAGTTGCAAGATCTTTACCTGTCTGGCCTAAGTAAAACATATTACATTCCTTGCAAGGAATATATATATATATATATATATATATATATATATATATATATATATATATATATATATATATATATATATATATATATATATATATATATATATATATATATATATATATATATATATATATATATATATATATATATACTTTTTTTTAATTATCACAAAAAGAGGAATATAAAGAAACTTCTAGTTAGGCACAAATGTTCTAGCCATCAAATACAGTAGTAGGCACTGTTCTATTTATAAGTTTATCAATCAGTTTCAAACTTATTCTTTCCCCACCTAAACAAAGTGGAACAGGTATCAATTAAATAAATTTCCTTTTAAAACATGTATTAACTTTAAGTATACTACTGTATTTGTATAAAATGATAATATCAGTGTGCTTCTATTGTGAATTCTTCTTCAATAAGTTTTTTCACACAGACTTTAAAGATCGGTCATTTAATTCTAAGCACCCTCACCTATCATGATGGAGGAATCAAGTACAGTTAATCACACAGGATCAACCTAGCAACAGTTCCTGATATAAGTGTACACTTGTGCTAGGAAATGTCGTTGGCTTGACCCTTGCATTGATGACCATATAAAACCCCTCTTCAAGTTAGCATTGAGCACAGTCACTTGTTTTCAAGTATTAAGAGGTTAAGATGCCCAGTATGGGCCATTAGGCCCGCTGTAGTTTCCTCCATTCTTGTGTTCTTATAGATCTTAGACTATAGATAAAGCTGGCACTGGCTACATGAACATCAGACTACGGTATATAACTAATACCAACTCTATAGACAGTGTAAATAGCATCACAATATATTGTGTTCTGAAGTCAAGTCAAACTAAAAGGCATAATAGTAATGATGCACATCTCTAGCTACATTCTATTCATCCATTTTTGTTTAATCCTTTTATGCAGCTTTAATATCAAAGTCCCATCCCATATAAACTGAAAAAGAGTACTACTAGATAAACAGAACAATCCTTGTATTAAATTTACCTTGGGATTATTAGCAGACATGCAGTAAAAATACTCTCTCCAGATGAGCTGTGCTGTGAGGGAGTGAGATGGAGGAGACTCTCCTTCATACATTTTGACATATACATCTTGTATGTCCCAGTAAAATCTGCAGGGAAAATATGTTATTCTATCTGCTTTCAGTGCTGAAGGTAAGGTTTAATACTGGTAAAGAATCAGAAAAATAAAATATGCTAGTGTCAGGAAGAAATGAAATTTGAATAAACTAAAATTTGAATATCCCCAGTACAGATTTTGCCTCTAACTAGAATACAGCTCCTCCCCGACTTACAACCTACTCGACTTACGACCACCCGGACACACGACCGCCTCAGTCGTACCAAAATTTTGTCAAATTACATATTTTCGAGTCCCAACGTCAGTAATTGCGGTGTACTGACAAAATTTTCGTTTGTAATTAATTTTAAAATGGCTGGCAAGCTTAAAAGTGAGAGTTTTGTGGTGCTGAGAAGAAAAAGAGACACCCATTTTAGATTTTCTATGTATTATTTAAGCATTTTCGACTTACAACCATTTCGATTTACGACCTGGATTTGGGTCCCTAACCCCGTCGTAAGTCGGGGAGCAGCTGTACACTGAAGGTTCTGGATCAGCTGCTCAAATCCCCATAATGTCTTTAGTGCCACAAAATGCTACAAAACATGGTGTTTCAATGAAAATTTTTGGTATACATTATGATTATAAGGCAATAATACACATACAAAGTAAAATAAATGTACTGTAGTATACAGTACAGTTCTCAGCCTAACTATAATAGGTCCTCAGTCTTGCTATAATAAGGGGGAGGAGGGGCATGTACAGTATCATGTTAACAGAACCCTCACTCACAATAACACATTTAGTTCAAATCTATACTGTATCAATAAGTTTCCAAGGACTGTGTAGGGAAGTCAAGAGTGTTAACCGGGTAGAACAATCAGTATCACACTAGCAAAACATTTGAACACTCTAAGTAAACGAGAAAACATCTCTATACTGTATTGTACATGATGAGTCAAATTATATAATACAATAGGGTCATCTAAACAATGGGAGGGAAAATTAAATGCCATTTTAGCTGAGAAAAAGTTGGAACTACTCTTACGGCCGTACTGGGCCGTCCGTAGCCAACTGGCCCTGGAACACGACCTCATTGTGTACAGGCCACGGCTGCTTAATCCCTGCAGCCTTCGACGGGAGACTCTGTCACACCTACACGACGGTCATCACGGGGTGGAACGCACCAAACATCGGGCTCGACAGACTACCTATTGGCCAGGGATCGACCAGGACATCGAGAATGTCATTTCTAGTTGTTCACGATGCCGTCCCCTCCACCCTAAACTGCAGAACGAGCCCTTATGGCAGGATGACGACCCACCAAGTAGAGTGTTCGAGTGAGTTTCTGCTGATTACTTTCATGTGGCTGGCCGTACCTATCTGGTGTATGTCGACCGTATGTCTGGGTGGCCATATGTGTCATCGTGTCCACGGACAGCGTCAGTGGCTCATCTTGTCAGTGTCCTGCGGTCTGTCTTCGCAGACACGGGCGTGCCCGTCGTCCTGATGAAGATCCCCAGTTCACGTCGTCTGCATTACGCCACTTCCTGGCTCGGTGGGGGGTGGAGCACCGGGTGACTTCACCGTACAACCGTCAGGCCAACGGACATGCAGAAGCTGCAGTCAAGACGGTGAAGAAGCTCATAATGTCGACAACACGGAAGGGAAACCTAGACGAGGATGAATTTGCCTGTGGGCTATTGGAGCTGAGAAAAACACCTCGTGCTGCAGGGAGGTCACCAGCACAAGTACTGTTTGGTCACCCCATGAAGTTGGCAGTACCTGCACACCATCGCTCGTTTGCTCAAGAGTGGCAAGGCGCAACTGATGAACGTGACTCCAGGGCTGAGCACCTCTGAAGAAAGGCAAAATCACGACACGACTCCACAGCGTGACAGCTCCCCCAACTGCATCTTAGAGCCTACGTTGACGTGCAGGGCCACGAGAGCAGTCGAAGGGACCGCGTAGGTGTTGTTGTGGGTACAGTATTTCGTCGGGATTACCTTGTCAAAATGGGTAGTGGCCGAGGCGAGGGCTCCACCGGAACCGGGCAGCATCCAGAGTCCTCTCACAGCGCTCACCGCTATGCGTAGGTTCAGAGGAGCATCCTAGCCTGCAGCTCCCGCCATGCCAAAGTGACCGCCACAGCGACTGGAGATGCAATGGGATTCTCAGACTTGAGGCAATGAGATGAAAAGATGAATCCAGACATAGTGGATCCTCAAGTTGTCCCCAGTGTCTTGGGGGAGGTATGTGGTGTTTATGTAATACGAACGAGCCGAGCGAGTGAACCACTGTGTGACGTGAATGAGCATGTGCACGAGTGCTGTCCTCTAGTGGCGTGATTGATGTGTGCATGAGTGCTGTCACCTGGCGGTGTGAATGAAGTTGGATGTCTGAGTAGTTAGGTGACATAGCACGAGGTTTCGTAATCATGTGTATTACCCTGCGAGACAGATTGTTTCCTGCTGCACCACTGTACAGACCTCTCCCAGTAAACTGTATCTGTGAAAACTGTGTTTCATTGAGCCGTCAGTAACCAAATAGAACTTGAACAATAGAGTGACAGAGACAGAAATAAATACAATATCACTAGAAGAGAGTTTATGAGAGTGAAAAAAGGGAACAAGCAAAATGAATAATGTATTGTTTAGTTTTCCTTATGGATCAGCTTTTCTTGGCCAATATGGCTGTTGCCAATCTTTAGTAGTACAGTGACCCCTCATTTAACGAACGCCTCGGTTAACGAAATTTCGGTTAACGAACTGCCTTCCATAAGGATCTTCAATTCGGTTAACGAACAAAAATTCGGTTAACGAATTTCTTACGAACCGACCTCAACATGTTTTCGCTTGCACTGACCAGGCAACCAGCTTTAGTATCAGTCCGCCAATACATTAATCGGTTCTAGGTCTTAAATTCCTTACTATTTTAGTAAATATCAAGAAGTTTATACTATTCAATAATTTTAAAAGTTTAATATTCAATTTTTTAGTCATTTTAACATTTATTGAACATAATTGAAGGTAAAGTGACTAGTTTAATGCGCGGCATCCAGCCTCTTAATGCAGCAAACAGGCGTTAGTGTGTCTCTGTTTTCACTGGAGGTAACATCTTGCTTGAGACTTTCTTCAACTAAATGCTTTTTTTCTGTGTTTCCAAGCAAATTATTGGTCATTTTGAAATTTATTTTACATATTGACAATATATAATGCAGTGCAGTGTTGATTTAAAGAAAATAATCTTGAATTACACCAAGAGAGCTAAAATTTTATGGGTGAAATGGCACCATGGGGTGACTTCTCTTCCACCCCAATGCCTTCTCTTCTTCCTTCTCCTCCCCCCATTCTAAATCCCATCATCATCATCATCATCCAGGAGCCTTCTACATACACACCTCAAAGTAAGTGAACTTTTCTACCATTTTTGTTGAATTTAGGAAATTTTCGGTGAGCTAGAACCAATTACCCAAAAACCCATTGAAACAATGGTTTCGGTTAACGAACTTTTCGGTTAACGAACGACCTTCTGGAACGGATTGAGTTCGTTAACCGAGGGGTCACTGTACAGGTATGCTTCGCTATACGAACATCCGAGATACGAAAATTCACTTACATGAATTTCCTAAATTACCACTTCTTTTTCGGGTTATGGATGCTTCTCCCGCTTATGCAAATTTGGGCCCCACCAAAAATTAAAACTGCATACCCCAGGAGTCAGCTGGGGCAGCTACATCCCCCTAGTACTCTTCCTACCTCAGCATGTTATGGTTATTTTTCAACTCGTAATTTCGAGTATATAAACAAAACTTCCTTCATATTTTTTTTTATTCATTTACATGCACACAATCCTAAATACAGAATCTGGAAAAAATAAACAAAAATAAAAATAAAATGAATAAAATTAATACACCTGTAAATATATAAATAAATATATGCTTGTTCTCCTATTCACTATATACAGTATATTGAATGTTTTCAAACATTACCCATTCATATATCAAGGGATACCTGTATCTGATATTTGTAATTAAAGTACTCCTATGTTTTCAAGACAAAATAGCTTTGACTTCAAGTAATGTTGCTCCAACCCAGACTCTTCACATATCTGGACCAACAACAGGCTGAATTAGTCTGGACTGGAGATGTTTTAATGTACAGTATAAGGATATATTGCTATTAAAACCACTGGAAAAGGGGCACTTACTTTCTGACAGAGAGGCAGCCAAACCTCAAAGCTGCAGACATACTCATTGGTGGACCAAGAAGATCTGGATTCACCTGATTGGGCAAGATGTAACCATCTCTGCAGAGTGAATAACAAACTCTGAATTTATTTTGTCATATAAACCTTTCTACAGAAACTGAAATGAAATTTTTTTGAAAGCAAATTTTTTTGTAATTACTGTAGTTTGGCTTGACTTTTTTTTCTTGGATACATTTTAGATAGAGTACTGGTAATTGTCTTTCAAGTACTGTAAGTGGTTATTCCAACAAAATTTCCTATTATAGTAAACTTACTTTATGGTGAATGAAATGATGCACCTATAAAATATACTGTATATGCTAAGAGCTACGTACCTATAAACTGTTTAAGAAAATGACACAATCAAAATTTAAATATATCTTCTGTTACAAAAAGAGGCAAAGGATCGTGTAAAGTTTAAATACATTTATGAAATACCCCTTTACTACCGAGTATATTCAGAAGCAAGGCAAAGTTATTATTAAATAATGACCAGTATTTCTAGAACTTCCATAATGCAAGAACTAAATACAGTCAACATCCCCTTAACATACAAGATAGATTCCTGAAAACCTGTAAAGTAAGTAACATATGTACATTAACCACATATTAATTTCCCATACAAACCCAAATTATTAATTGAGACACATCTCAGAACTTTCCCAACTCCTGGGCAGTATCTGCAACTCCCCTAACTTCAACCGATTTCTAACCTAGATTGCTGCCATCTCAAAATATTTATTATTATTTTTTAAATCTTATTCACATTCCAGTGAATCATGAAAGGATGCACACAAAATGAAACAAATGGCACATGGTATATGCATACAAAGAAAAGAATGAGTTGTAGTCACCAATGCCATACTATGGAACCCACGGGCGGTACCAAAAACACGTGCAAATTTTTTCTCAAAGGATTTTTGCCAGCTCTAAGAATATTATGCTATTCTGAAAATTTCTAAGATTCTTACCTTAAATTACCATATATAATTACATAATGGACTTAAGGAGTAGTTGCAGACAAGAGGAGGAATTAATGCTTGAGGATATTGAAGGGGATTACAGTATTGTATTTGAATTTTTTTATCAAAAGTAATAGTGTGCCTTTTCTTCTTAATACCACATGATCTAGTAGCATTTTTTTTTACTATCATTTTTCTGTTTACTCATAGTACAGTTAAGTACAAAGAAATATTCAGTCACAATCCAAAATACAGAGGTATACTGTAAACACCATCAACCGTGACCAAAGCGAAACTACCAAAACAAAAGATACTGTATTCAAGTTCAGCATGTGTGCAGTGGACATACGGTACCATAATAAAATGTACGTATCTGTGAATGTACATTGTGGGGACACTGACTGTATATGTTATTCCCATACAGGTACTCCTCGACTTACAACCTACTCGACTTACGACCACCCGGACATACGACCGCTGCAGTCGTACAATTTTTTCTTCAAATTACGTATTTTCGAGTCCCGACGTTAGTGATCGCGCTGTGTACTGACAAGTTGCAAATGGATGCATGATTAAAGGAGAATGATGTAAGGTGCCTGGTCTCCAAGTATTAATGGTTGCTGTCATCAGTTACATGCATATGCAACATCACTAAACCACCTGACATTTTTCTGAAACTCTGCACTGTCCTTCCAGTAGCTGTTATACCATACTGTACTCTCAGTCTCTGACATTTTTGTTTCTCTTCATAGCTTCCTTCTGTCTTTTCCAGCATCTATCATTTTCTTTACCCTGTAATGTTCCAATGTACACTTCAGGTGGAAAGCAATGAACAGTAATGAAAAATAATTATTGAAAAACTGTATTATCTACAGTATTCATCTGATGCTACCACTGGTAACACTGTATGGAGGGTCTCATCATTAATCAATTAACCTTAAAATTTATCTCAAGTTTGTTGTAATCATCCACTGTGTTGATTCATTTTAGGCAATAATCCTTGTTACCCATATGGTCCTAAATTCTGTTCATACAAAAATTGCAATCAACGTCAATTTATAGTACAGTAGAAGTCCAAAAATCCGGACTGCTTGGGGATTAGGTCGGTCCGGATTTTCGGATTTTCCGGATTCTCAGGCAGTACTTTTAAAATTCAAATTTAAGGAAGAATAAAGAAGAGATGAACAGGTACATTTTGATAATTTATTCATTAGCAAATATAGCATGCTTCATTTATCAAAACGAGCAATTTTAAAGAAAAAGCTGTGAATTCTAGAATTTTATTCTTTGCCTTTTTTATATTATAAATTGTAGACTTTCCAATGTCGTATGTTTCCATTAGAACAGTACTTCTCACGCCACGTTCTAGTTTCTTAATTATTTCAAGTTTGTCACTCAATTTCAACGTGTTCTTCTTTCTCTTCACACACCGAAGTTTATCTACTATAGGAGCCATTATTATGGGCTTGTACAGTACTCTGTAAATGGAAAGAGTAGGACTCAAAATTACATACTGTACGTTGTCACAGTTTGATTGCTCGTTTTAAAGTGGCGACCGCGCGTGGTCGCTTGTTGTCGCTGTGCAGCTGTGGCGCTCACGCATGTGCACATACACACAAAAGCCAGCTAAAAAAAAATAAAAATATTGAGTTTTCGAAAAGTCTGGATTCTCGGGTGGTCCGGATTTCTGGCATCCGGATTTTTGGACTTTTACAGGTAATCTTAAAACAATATATCAATAAATAATGTTTGCCAAACCTTCTGCTTCTGGTAATATATTTAAAAATGTATAAATGAATTACTGAAATGCTTCTTCTTCCACCCTGAGGCGGTCCGCGAGATGTAATAAAGCAGGATGCTCTCCTCCCACATATACTGGACATTCTCCATTTTTTTTAGTGCATCCGAGCTCTTCTGGTTTGGGAACATGAGGACATAACTGAAGGGTATAAACAAAGTTTATCAGAAAGATGAATACTAAAGGTGTAATACAATATATGAAACAGTCAGCATATGGTATTCAAGTTACAATCTATGGCCTTGACTTCATATTGGCAGTGATGGTTAATAATATCTTAAGTTTTAATGAATATTTTCATAGAAAAGTTAAAAAAATACTGTGAGACATTCTTTGTTCACGTTCTTATACTGTACTACAAAACCCAAACTACTTGGGTACATTATTTATAACCATAAGTGAGAAACGAAATTGATTAACAGCAAACAATTCATGCCTCGTATAGAAAAATGCAGTTAATTTTTTTTTTATGTAACAGTCAAGACACTTACAGTAAGATAAATCACATAGTGTACTGTGCTCACCTTTAGTTTGGCTGCAAGTTCATCAGAAATTTCTCCAAACAATACATTGCTCCAATCAGGATCTGGGCATGGCCGAGGAGGAAGACCTAGAGTCTGTGCAACTTGCTGGAAAAAAAAAATATATTGTTAAAAAGACTATGTGTGGGTGAGAGCACATCTGTGTAATGTTCTATAGCCACTCCTCGACTTACAACGGGGTTAGGGACCCAAATCCAGCTCGTAAGTCGAATTGGTTGTAAATAAAAAATGCGAAAATAATACCCCCCTGTACATAGAAAATCTGAAATGGGTGTCTCTTTTTCTTCTCAGCACCACAATACTCTCACTTTTAAGCTTGCTAGCCATTTTAAAGGGAATTACCGATACAAACGAAAATTTTGTCAGTACACAGCGCAATCCACTAACGTCGGGACTCGAAAATATGTAATTTGAAAAAAATTTGGTACGACTGGGGCGGTCGTATGTCCGGGTGGTCGTAAGTCGAGTAGGTAGTAAGTCGAGGAGCGGCTGTATTTGCATGCATGCCAGTGTATTTATGTGCATTTACATCCTTATTTAGCTGGTTCCATTCATATGTATGTGGACTGGAAAAACTTGTTAATGTGTGTTGGCTTCATGGAAGTGGTTTTGCCTGTGCCAACTGTAATGTTAAAAAAAGAAAAAAGAAAGAGATGACAAATCACATAATGGGAAATATTGCCATGTTTGAGCATAGCATGGCTTAATTCATGACTGCTGAACCACTAAAACACACAGCTTCAAAGACACAAGAATATCTTTATGCACGTACTGTAATTACATGAGGCATTGCAGACTAAGAGAACTGATAAACTATTAAAATCAATGCCGTGGATATATAGAAAAGGGCTGGCTTTGGCACTGCGATGCTGCCAGGTGCTATTGCCACAGTAGACAGATACTATGACAGTGGATATTCTAGTGAATAACAATGGGTTAAACGCCCATCCTTAGATGAAGAAGCAGGTAATCCTGCCGTTTTGTATGAATAGCTTCACCAATCCCTAACTTAACCTTGTTTTGGGGATTACAGGCCACTTCGCCTTTAGGATATTTCGGCCGAATCTGGTTTTTTCCCTACCCGAGTTATTTTTTGGGGACTTCTTCCTTTTGTTCCATTTGCTTTTCAATTTCCATTCTTCTTCTTCGTCTTATTCTGGTATATTCTCGTAAAAATTTAAAAACACTGATTATTAATGTTACGATCTTTTTTAATTCTGGCTTCTTTTCTGTGGTGTTCTTGGTGGTCTTGATTCTTCTTTTCTTCGATCTTCACTACAAGGAGAGACTCCTTGTAGCTCAAGTTTTTTCTTGCTTCCCAGCTTAGCCACCCTACACTCCTCCCTCCACTTGGGACACTCCAAGACGGAGAAGGAGTGAGGGCCACCACAAGCTGCGCATTTCTTGGCGGCCGCCGAGTAGTTGGTGTGCTGGTGCCCGGGTGTCCCGCAACTGCAACAGACTTCCCAAGCTCGACACTTCCCTGCCAGATGGCCATACCTCTGGCATTTGTAACACCTTGTTGATCTTCTTTCATATGGTCTTACTGGGATGGTCTCCCATCCCAGCAATACGGTGCTTGGTAGATTCTTTGGGTAACCAACCAGTGCAGTTACGCTGGTCAGCTTCCGTACTATTGAGAGCTGATCTCCAATCAGCTCGGCCAGCTCTTCTTTTTCAAGGTGTTCGATCTCGGCGTGGGAGATGACTCCCAACACCAAGTTATCCTCTGTGCGAGCTTCCACTAGTATCTTGATCCCGTTAATTTCTGTTATGTTGGCTATTTGCTGGGCCTGTCCCCATTCCGCGAAGGTGACGATAAGGCCACCACTCACTGGTCTGCGGACGACCCTTGTCACCCCCCTGATTTCTACGGAGTCAAAAAACTTCCTTAGGACAAGGAGGTTTAGTTGCTTGCGCGAAGGGCATGTGACTGGATACAGTCTTTCAACCTTCCCCTGGTCACAGGTTAGCCTCATCGTCAGGTTCACATTAGTACCTCGGGAGCAGAGAAGATCTTGCCTCGCCGAGGTGCAGTTCTCAGTCTCGAATCCCTAACCCCAGCCAGCCTCTATACACCTGTCTCTTCAACCATATTGGGTAAATGATATTTTGTTGACATACACAGTATACAGTATTAATACCTAAATACTTATTTAAACTTAAATTGTAATAATATAATATAGGTAGTATTTAATTAATATTTTGGTAAGAAAATTTTTGGCATGAAATTTAATGGAATCACGCTCAATTTAGTGAACTAGTTCGCTAAATTGAGGGAATATAATGGATATTCGATTTAACGGAAATTTTGATTTAATGGAAAGGGGTGGATGAAATTTTCTTGTTAAATTGAGAAAATACTGGTCATATATTGTTGGCTGTTTGCAGCCACAGGTTACCACAGGGGGTGTAGGAACGCATTTCCACAAATGTACCACTAGGTCTATGGTAAACTAGTGTTCAGTATACAGTACTGTATGATGTTTCACTTAAGTTGCACTTTTCTATAATTGACAAATAGCGAGGTAAAGCATTCCTATAATAAATTTGGTTACCATTATCACCCTAGCTTCATCTGATGCTTTCAACAATTTTGCAACTACTGCATGTATTCATGAACTACCAGCAGCCTTTTCATTCTATATTTTGTCAATACAGCTTTTTTCATTCACTTTTTCAATCCTTGAGCATGGTCCCTATACCAGTTCTGCCGCTTTCAGGCTCCCCATCCCATTAAAATTCCTCCTTCAATAGATGATTGTAGTACTTTCTTCAAGCATCCTTTATTTCCTCATTATCTACAACCACATTACCATGGTCATTTCTTATGCACTGCTCACCAACTACACCCCCTTTTTGCTGTGCCATTCTGTAATCCTTGCCGCTAGCATGTATACTAATCAGCTTACTCACACAGGATCACGATTCTTAGCCTTGTAAACCTCTCCTGGCCAGCACTTAGCAACCAAACACTCTTCTTGTTACCACCACCCATCTTCAAGGCCTTATACAATCTTCTTTTCTACTTCATCACTCTATCCATTTCATTATTCCACCACCATGTTAACCCATTTGTGCACGCAATAAGTTTTTAAGTTTCTGTGACCTCACGTGAGGTCTGGTCATCTTTGTTCTGCGGCCAATATATCTCAAAGAAATTTTTTCTTTTTACACGATTTACATATCGCTGGCTTCATTATTGATTTGGCTTCAATATAAGCAGGAAAAAAAAAAGACGGAAATAAGACTATTTTTTTTTGCTCCGAATAATGAAAAAATTTATGTGTGTTCCCAGTAGCATTAGCAATATTTTCTCACAAACTTACCAAGGTATTATACAGTTACAGAAGTAGCAGTGTATGAGCTTTCCAACGGTGGCTTTGGGATTTTGATACGACTAATTGTGGGGAGGGTGGGAGAGGAAATAAAGAGACAAATGTGACCTACCAGCACAGCTGATGGGAGGTAAGTGATGGATAGTGGAACTCCATCAGTATTTTAGTACTTTCTGGAAGCTTCACTTGCTAGATCAAGCATTTGTCTATGACACAATTACAGTACAGTAACTTGAAAACTATTTTTTGGTGAATTTTTTAAGTTTAATGTCAAGATCGTGTCACTGATGCAAATAGTGCTACCCAATGATTTGACGTGATTTGCGTCATGATGCGCAAGAGGATTAATGCCTGCCTATCCGGGTCCTTTATCCAGCCACACACCTTGTCAGCCCCATTAACCAGTACAATAATAAGTTTAGTACAGTAATTACAACAGTTTATCAAGCTTCCTCTTTCATTTTCTGACAAGCATGTGGTCAAACTGGGTTTTTATATCTAAACACCAACTTTGCCTAATACAACACCAAAGGATGTGTAAAATGCTTAGGCAATTATGGAATATGCACAGATAATTAAACTGGACACCAAAGGAAAGCACTTGGAGACATACCAAGAACATCTCATAGGTAAGAGGAGGCTGGCCACCATTGTTCTCAATTATCTTGAAGGGGTCCCATAGCGTATGTGAGATCCTTTCGACAAAATCCATTCCAAGTTCCTGACACAAATTTCTTACATCGCCATCACGTTTATTCCATATTGCTTCACAGTCCTGAAAATATGTTTACAAGTTATTGACTTAAAGGTATATTATGAAAAGAGGGAATATACTTACCTACAGAAAATACATTCCCATGACATTGTTTTAATGACTTCAAGAGTATGCATTTTTATGCTGTTTGACTTAAAACAATTTGGCCTACACAATCTGCACAGCTGAATCTAACAGAGATATAAGGGCTATGTTGAATTCAGGCAAACATTATAAGAATAACAAAGCATTTGGTCGGATCACACTGGATAACACTTCTCACATCACACTCAGTGATGGAAACTGGGATGCAGTACTATAGTGAGAGGCAAGAAAACTAATGCTGTACCACCAACACCCTCACAAATTTGTAACTCGATAGTTAAAGATTCTTGTTTTGAAAATTAATCAGTACAGTACTGTATCCTCTTCTTAAATAAATAATGTACAAGGGTTCTGCGGATGTCTGAGTAATTTCTGCAGGCACATAGTGGAAAAAATTAAATAATTTTCAGTTTGTTTGCAAATATGTCATACAATCAAGGTTAGCAAAGGTACTACATCTTGTCACAATGTACTTTAGAAGTAGAAAAAAAGGACAATACTGTACAGTGGTCCCTCGGTTAACGAGCACAATCCGTTCCAGCAGGTTGCTCGTTAATCGAAAAACTCGTTTACCGAAACCATTGTTTCAATGGGTTTTTGGGTAATTGGTTCCAGCTTACCGAAAATTGCCTAAATTCAACAAAAAAGGTAGAAAAGTACACTTACTTTGAGGTGTGTATGTAGAAGGCTCCTGGATGATGATGATGATGGGAATTAGAATGGGGGTGGAGGAGAAGGGAGAAGAGAAGGCATTGGGGTGGAAGAGAAATCACCCCATGGCACCATTTCACCCATAAAATTTTAGTTCTCTTGGTGTAATTCAAGATTATTTTCTTTAAATCAACACTGCACTGCATTATATATTGTCAATATGTAAAATAAATTTCAAAATGACCAATAATTTGCTTGGAAACACAGAAAAAAAGCATTTAGTTGAAGAGAGTCTCAAGCAAGATGTTACCTCCACTGAAAACAGAGAGAGACTAACGCCTGTCTGGTGTGTTAACAGGCTGGATGGCACGCCAGAAACTAGTTTCTTTACCTTCAATTATGTTCAATAATTGTTAAAATGACTAAAAAAGTTAATATTAAACTTTTAAAATTATTAAATAGTATAAACTTCTTGATATTTACTAAAATAGTAAGGAATTTAAGCCCTAAAACTGATTACTGTATTGGTGGACTAATACTACAGCTGGTGGACCGCCAAATGCAAGCGAAAACATGTTGAAGTCGGCTCGTAAAAAACTCGTTAATCGAGGGATTGCTCGTTAACCGAAGTTAGGAATCTTATGGAAGGTAAATCGTTAACCGAAATCTCGTTAACCGAGGCGCTCGTTAACCGAGGGATCACTGTAGTGGATGTACTGTATTGTAGTGAATAAGTAGTTGCCCCCTACCCCCCCATATTCCATCACTTGGACCTAAACAAGTGGTTTGCACAGATGTTACATCTGTGGGTGATTGTCATAGTACATTTCTATGGTGTACTTTCAAAAGTTTCATTTTTGATATCTTATACAGTGTGTGAATGTTTACTAACCTTTAAAATTATATACCTGAGAATGTGCGTCATTTTAAAAACTCATACTGTGGGTGAGATTATCCATATTTTTGAGGTACTCAAAATCCCAAACCTAAGAACCTTATTTCATACCATAACTTACACACTTGCAGGGAACCACTGGAACAATGATTTGTAACACAGACATTTCATACAATGTATGTAAATTGGATGAATTACCTGTTCACATGTGATGCGGGTGATCCCAGCTTCTTTGTGTAGAATCCTGAATATTTCTGTCGGGTTTCCCTTGAACACAAACAGTTGTGACCCAACTTCACGCAACTGTTCATCTAAGCTATTCAAGGTTTCAGTTAAGAAGTTCAGTCGATTGTACCCAGTTATATTTGTACCTATCCAAAAGAAATACAGAATATTTGTATCATGAGAATAATCATAATTTACTGCACTATGAACAAATTTATGTAAAAAAATAATAAACAAATATATTTGTACGTACTATATAAATAAAAACAAGGGTCCTCTGCAGGGTGTATAGAATTGATCCATTCACACAAAATTTTTATTAAGTAAACACTGTTGGGGAAAAATAATATGCATAAGTCCATTCTACCTGCTGTGTGTCCATCATGGATGAAGACAGCATAGAACTTCTCCGTGTCCTTTATTGATTCCAGTAGGGCAGGGTTGTCATGGAGACGCAGCCCATGCCTGAACCAGTGGACGGATGCCTTAATCATCTTCTGAAATTGAGTTATACAAATTAACTTGCTATAAACCTTTGAAATGCGATGTTCTATGTTAAACAACAATAATGTGTGAATTTTACGATAACAAATGATGCAAATAAAAACAACACTACCGGTATATTTAAAATGCAAAAAAATAAATATAAAAACAATGGGTGGTAGAAGAGAACAGCTTGTAACATAGGCTATGTAGGAGATCTCACACTAAGGATGGAGGTGAGAAGGGAACTAAACTCACTATGGCATTTTCTATAAATATATTATATGTACAAATGCAGTGCTAGGGAGTTGCTGTGTGGTGAGGAGCTTGTTGAGAGGAGGTCTTGTCTGTTTGAGAGCGTTGAGTAGAATCCTCTTCATGGCGAGGCTGGGGGTATTTATACAGTACAAGTCTGCCAGAAGTGAGCGGCGCTGCCGATTGGCTGAGGTGAAAGGCGGTAACTGGCCAATCACCGCGCAGTCCAAAAGCTTGGCTTAACCTGAGGAACTCGCCGCGGGGTCGGCAGGTCAGCGACAAAACCGCAGTTGGCAGTTGTAGGGGAGAGTATCCACTACAATGTGTATAGATATGTAAATACCAAGATATGTGAACACGCCTGACGGCAGGACTCTGTTACCATTCATTGTACCATTTATTCACATGTCTGTATTACTACATATTATTATAGCATGTTTGATATCTATGCTTATGTCTAATGCCTATGTTCACTTACTATGTCCCGATATACTGTCTGTACCGCGCTAGTCGAGTAATTAGAAGACCTCATTTATTGTCCTAGTAATGTCTAGCAACTCCCCTTGCCTAGCCAGTTAACTTCCCTCAGATCGGCCTCGGCCTGCCTGCGGCCCGGGGTCCCTTGTGCTCGCTTCTGTACCGGTCGGCTATCCCGCCAAGTCTTGTACTACTTTTTGAATATATCTACTGCTCGTGATCTGGAGTTTGAAGAACCTTGTCTAGGATTTCATCCCACCACACAATGCTCCCCCACCTCCGAGCACTGCAGAAAACTTGTTGTCAGCAGGGTTGTGTTCCACATGTGAGACATAATGAGCGGGGGTGTGAACCACTCGGCCGCTATGGGTGACAACTCCGTCTAGTGACTCGAAATCTGTGGGAGAAGCAAAAGGAGAAGGAGGGTTGTAGATAAGAGAAGGTTGAACAGGCGAGGAATGTGGTACTTCTCTCGTGGCAGGTGCAAAGTCCTCAGGGGCGCCGGGAGGGGTGTCTGGGTCCATAGGTTCGGATGCAGGATCCTCATCAGGAGTAGTAGGTACCTGAGAACGAAAGGAGGGCTCATAGAACTGTGGGCAGACTGGTGCAGACGTGGTTTGTTGGGGGTAATGCTGGGCTGGGGGCCCATTGGGTAAGGTGGCCGGCTTCACTCGAGCGATGCTGACGGTGTCGTGTCTGCCAGTGCCAATGATCGTCGGGAACTTCGCTGACCATGCAAAAACCGGGAAGCGTCCGTCGTAGGGGCGTTGAAGTGGGTTGCGGAGAGCATCGCACCTGACGAAGACATACTTGCCGTTGAGTAGTGCAGAAGGGGTGTGTTCTGAGCGATGGGAAGGCTGGCGTGGGGCAGTAGCTTTGAATGCAGAAACTGCTTGTCGTAGTGTTTGCAGTAGGTTGTGACGGGCAGCAGGAGTGAAGTGGTCAAGGTCAGGAGTAAGTGAGAAGTCCCCGGGTAGGCGAAGGGGCTCGCCTAGGGTGAGATCTGCTGGGCTGCAGTCCATGTCTTCTTTGTGCGATGCGCGAATGCCAAGGAGCACTAAGGGTAGAGCATCCGACCACCTGTAGGGGTCGTGCTGTGCCTTGATAGCGTCCTTCAACTGACGATGAAACCACTCTGTATCCATGAGAGGGGACGCCTCTTCTGGGGCATTTACGTCGACCCCGCCCCCCCCATCGCTGGCAACACTTGCCGGCGAAGTGGTAGGTAGAGACTGAGGTGGCCTTTGTGTGGCGATCAGGAGGACAGGAGCACCTATGGGCACATATCTGTCCCCTTACATGGTCAGACCGCGACTGAATAAGTACATTGGGTACAAGATAAGTGGCACGGTGTAGAAAGGTTGCTCGGTATGCCAATGATGGTTTTTCCCAAGAATACAAGAAACACGGATATACTGTATGATCTAGTAATTCAATATACTTTACAGCAGGATGGGGTCACCATAGGAACGAGTCTGTAGGCCTAACATGTTCTGTTGAGCACCTAGTGCATACCTTATGGCCCCTTCACTACATCCACTATACTTATTATTCTTCACAGGTTAGATGCTTGATTATTCTTTCAAATACAACAGTAGTTAGTTGACACCTGTAAGCTGACATTAGTTCTCAGAAATAGTCTGCAAACAGTGAACAGTATGTCTAAGTGAGTGAGAGAAATATCTGTTTAATTCATCATTTACACCACTTATTTATTAGTTCCCCACTTATTAGTTGCTAGGAGATCAAGCAGTTGTTTCGTTCTTTGTTATGTATGACCTTTATTGTTCAGTGTTAATATAGGTGGAAATCAGAGTACCTTGAGAAAATATAATGTTTGGTGTGGTTACACTGGATAACAACCTTCTCACATATGACCCTGCCATTTAAACCCAGGACACAATAATGAGAGGCAAGTGAGCTACCGTTGTAATAGTACCACCTACAGTACCAGTCTACACAATCACGATGGGTCAATGTATAGTAGAGGACATAAATAGATATCGGGTATTTTTTGTGTTTAATGATAATTTCAGACAAAAACAATACGATTTTCTTCAATGACACTTTTCTCGCATTTTACCAGTAACCGAGATATCGTGAGTTGAAAATCAGAAAACTACTGGAGAAGGTATTCCAGTATTGCATTTTTTACCACCAAGCGAATCTCGGGATTTTATTTTTGCAATCAATTCTTTAGACAATTCTAAGACATTTTCTTCTATGATGTTTCCCTTACAAATTACCTAGAACCGATATATTGAATATTGTGGGGTGTCCAGGGGGCAGAGCCCTAGGTTAGGAAGTTAGGTAAGGTTAGGTAGGTTTGGTCGAGTAGGATAACTTAATTAGTAATACGTGGTTGACAGCACCAACCAAACCTACTTACAGTACCCTTACCTAAGTTTCTAAGGGGAGGTTCCGCCACCCGGCATATTAAATATCTCGGTTCTGTAGGTCGTTTGCGAGGGAGACGTCATAAAAGTGTCTTAGAAGTGTCAAAATTATTATTTACAAAGATAAAATTACCGAGATTCGGTTGGTAGCAACAAATGCAATAATAACTTCTCGAGTAGTTTTTTATTTTCAACTCACGATATCTTGATTATGGGTAAAATGCACCAAAAGTGTCATGGAAGAAAATCGTGTTGTTTTTGTCTGAAATTATCATTAAGCACAAAAATACCCGATATCTATTTATGTCCTCTACTATAAACTGACCCACGAATGTAAGGCAAAATCCTCCCAAAAGGTTTTATCCAACTGTCTGAAGTCGCCTCGTGGGTAGTAGGTAAGACAATGGTTGGGGGTCGTCGAGCTCAGGAATTGCAGACATTATTTCAATAAACAAGACCTGTATCGTCTCTCTGAGGGAGAGGAATAACCTAATAAAAATGCACTAACAACCTTCACTCAACCGAGATGTATCCCACACAAACAACCCAGAAAAAAAAACCCACCTGCTCTCAAGCCTAAGATGGTGAAACTGAACAACGATACCCCTCCATAGTTACTTCGTGGTGAATAGTGTTGGAGCCGAGTGGTTAGACAAGGTGAGGGTCTAATATATTCATAATAGGATCATAACCATACAAGAAGTGCAGGAGAAAGGATACAGGCATTCTACAAACACATCCTGTTCTTAACACTTAACAGAGCGATGTGAGCGGTCCGACTAATTACCCAAATGTACCCAAATGTACCCGCAATGAAGTCAAATAATGGTCCTACATGAATAAATCGGACTGCCAACCACTTCTCGACTAGTATTTGGTGTCACAAAGTCACAAAAAATTGGTAAACTAAATTTAATCTGAGTTGTGTTAGGTTAGGTACATGCACTCGATCTATTAACTCAGATTAAATTTAGTTTACCAATTTTTTGTGACTTCGTGACACCAAATAATAATCGAGAAGTGGTTGGCAGTCCGATTTATTCATGTAGGACCATTATTTGACTTCATTGCGGGTACATTTGGGTACATTTGGGTAATTAGTCGGACCGCTTAAAAGTCGTTCCCCATTCTCAGAAAAGAGCCGCTCACAGAGGTCATAAACCCTGCACATGTTTCTAGACCATGGTAAGTTGAAAACTGGATGATAATAACAACATTAGGAAATATTATTATTATATGGTGGCAGACTCGGGTGTACAGTACTCATAAAAAAGAAGAATATATCAATAAGTGTCCCTTCCTCAACCAGGATGAAGTGAACACACGCACACACCACCACAACAGAAGTACTCCCTCACAGTCACCAAGTCGTTTGAAACACAGGGAACCAACAAAAGCGGAGGGACGCTTCTTATAATTACCCTACGTAAATATAAGGTGTTCATAACTTATAAGAAACAAGGCTCGTCCATCGGTCTATTAGTAAGTTGGTGCCACAAAAAACACCTGTGATTCACCTAGTGCCATTATGAGCACCTATGATTCACCTGGTGTCATTATGAGCACCTGTGATTCACCTGGTGCCATTATGAGCACCTGTGATTCACCTGGTGCCATTATGAGCACCCGTGATTCACCTGGTGTCATTATGAGCACCTGTGAGTCACCTGGTGCCATTATGAGCATCTGTGATTCACCTGGTGTCATTATGAGCACCCATGATTCACCTGGTGCCATTATGAGCACCTGTGATTCACCTGGGATCATCATGAGCACTTGGAGTCATTAGTGGTGCAGCTGTAATTAACTTGGGGTCATTACGAAAACCTGTAAGTCAATTGACATCCTTTTGAGCACCTGTGAAATATTCATAACAACCGGGTCCAAACTGCGGACAATACCTACCGGGCTAACAGACAACCTCACCAAAACAAACACACAACATAGCCTGGTTAAAACAAACACAGGATAGTACCTAAAAAACACAGCTTGATCAAAACAAACATCACCAGACAACCTAATCAAAACAAACACACAACTTAGCCCGAACCGATCAATAAACTCTACAAATATTTAACTTGTAGTAACAAATATGCAGACAAACAGAGTTGACAACTTTAGCCTCTGCTCCACGGAGGGATAAACGTAATATGACTTTCGGTAACGTGATCCACTTACACACACATTCACTCACACTCACTCGCAAACTCATTCACTTACAAACTCATTCACTCGCAAACATTCACTTACAAACTCATTCACTCACACTCACAAACTCATTCATTCACACTCACAAACTCATTCACTCTCAAACTTATTCACTCACACACTCATTCACTCTCATTTACTCCCACACACATTCACTCTCACTTACTCCCACACACATTCACTCACTCACTCCCACACACATTCACTCTCACTTACTCCCACACACATTCACTCTCACTCACATTCACTCTCACTCACATTCACTCTCACTTACTCCCACACACATTCACTCACTCACTCCCACACACATTCACTCTCACTTACTCCCACACACATCACACACACATTCACTCCACTCACCCCACACACACACATTCACCTCACCCACTCCCCACACACATCCACCTCACCACCCCACACACATCCACCTCACCACCCCACACACATTCACCTCACCACATCCACCTCACACCACCACCACCTCACATCCACCTCACACACATCCACTCACCACTCCCCACACATCCACTCACTCCACACACACCTTCACTCACTCCCACACACATTCACTCTCACTCACTCCCACACACATTCACTCTCACTCACATTCACTCTCACACATATTCACTCACTCACTCCCACACTCATTCACTATCACTTATTTACTCTCACACACATTCACTCTCACTTACTCCCACACACATTCACTCTCACTCTCACATACTCCCATACACATTCACTCACTTACTCCCACACACACATTCACTCTCACTTACTCCCACACACATTCACTCACACTCAGTTACATACTATCACTCACTCCCACTTACCCATTCACCCACTCATTCTCACTTACACCCACTCTCACTCATTCTCACTTACACTCACCTACTGTACAAGGATAATTTCTAAATATTAGTCAAAATAAAACTATCCAGGATACAGAGACGTCCAGGAAATAAGTTAAATAACCCGACTTTTTAGGGGTTCTTAAACAAAAACAATCAACACACATCTTAATTTCTGACTTGAAAACACCTGAACAACAACAGCACGTGAAATATTGCCCACTTACTATACTGAACTCAATAGGTGACAGACACTTTACCTTCTACCTCGTTGACAGAACTAGCAGGTAGGGAGACAGAACCGCAGGTGGAGGGGAAAAAAATCGCAGTTGGAGGAGATAGAACCGCTGGTGGCCGACAGTCGACGGTGGCGGTGTGGTGTCTGGGTTAGACCTAGACCTTGGGTGGGTTAGATCAGAGTGAGAGAGACGAGAGTCGGGGGGAGCTGTAACAATAGCAGCAGCAGTGTGCAGACTGGGGG